AAAGGACTGGAGGTGGTGAAGGGAGGGTGCAAAGAGGACAGAGCCAGGCAATGGGCAAAAAGATACACACAGGGAGCTCCATCTGATCATCAGGAAGAACTTATTTACTGTGCAGGTGACAGAGCACAGACATAGGTTGCCCAGAGAGGCTGTGGTGTCTCCCTCCTGGAGATCTTCAAAAGCCACCTGGATGTGGTCCTGAGAAACCTGCTCTGCATGTCCCTGCTTGGGCAGGGGATTAGACCGGATGGCCTCCAGAGGTTCCTTCCAACCTCAGCCATATAAAATGTGTGCATGAGATGGCATGCAGATACCTCACTGTCATCAACAATCAAGAAAAGTCACAGGTACCATTTCTTCCCTTCCTTTTCTGCCTTTTTGCATGGAGTAAGGGTAGTGCCTTAACAAATGACAGTTGAAGACAGCTCTACATAAAATTCTTCACAAAGCCACTGGCTGTGGGAACCCAGAATAAGGTGGCTAGGAACATCTGGTTCATTTAGGAAGATATATACACAAAGTTAGAAAGTCACAGGCAGTACAGATGGAGAACGATTTCTTAAAAGATCCTCAGAATGGTCATTTACTTTGAGGAGATAACATCTTGGTCTTGGAGTTAATGACCAGAGAGTTTGTAGTGTAAGTTAATGGATGGGTTTGTTCAGTGGTCCTTGAAAGACAGTGGTGCTATCAAGTCCTGCATAGACAGGCTGAGCAAAGGAAGCATTGCAGCAGGTGTGTACCTATTGAGAGGACAATTCATACTGGAGCTCCTCTACACTTTCTCTATGAAGATTTCCTTTGGACTAGAGCTGTTTTGATTTCCTGGATCAAGTGCTCTGAACACTTGTGTGGTTTGCAGCTGCCCGGAGGACCAGACTTTTGTTCAGACCCTTCTTCCTTCACAAGACCCTACTTCCCCCTCAGTGAGTTTATGGTGCTGCAATTTGGGATTGATTTCCTACAGAAAAAATCTAGTTTGCTCTGGCAGGAACTACACTGCAAATCTAACCAAAGCAAGCTGAATGGGGGAAAGTAAAGGTCTTGTTTCTATACCACATTAAACTGCTGACTTAGCAGCTGTGGAATATGAGCATGAGGTGCCCTGTATCACCATCAAAATAGCACTGTAATCTTCAAGCAGATAATGCTTTGTCTTTCAAAATGGTTCGTATGTTCCTACTTAGAGTTCTGATACCCTTGCCTATGGTGGAAAGAGGAGAAAAAGTTAAACACATTCAGAGCTTACAACTTCTCAGACTCTTGTGTTACTCCTGTTCTTGTGTTACTGCCTGTTCCCCCTAAACAGAGCAAATTGAATGAAAGTCACAGGCAATCTGGAATGCTACAGAGGAGTTGCATTAGATTAGGAATAGACATTGCAAAAGCTCAGTAAATTAATGCTGAAAAGCAAGTGAAAAAGCATGAAAATTCAAAGAAAGGACTTGGAAACATGACTTCAATGGCAAATTATCTCCTACGATACAAATTCTTAATTATCAGGGATTACAGGAAAAACTCCATCCACAGGTGCTCAGAATCTATTAATGAAGTAAAACTCAGTGATTCTCCTGGGGAAAACCACAGGTACCATTTTTTCTAGTTAAGTGCTTCCTCTCCTTATTGGAAGAGCAAGGGGAAAGGAAAAAGGAGAAACGAATTTGCGTGCATACACCATTTCCCAAGAAGTAAGTTCCTCTTCCCTAAGGAATGGCCATAGCATGTCAAGTTATCATTTTGCCATCTCCAACAGCTCTCTCCACCTCTACAGTTCCAATACCTATTGATTGTGCCTGGCCAGTCAAAAATAATGAAGGGGATGATGTTGTTTTTGTTGTAAAATACATTTTTCTTTCTTTCTTTCTTTCTTTTCTTTCGTTCTTTCGTTCTTTCTTTCTTTCTTTCTTTCTTTCTTTCTTTTTTTCCTTTTTAATAATAATAATAATTATTATTATCTAAAATGGAAGACATGAGCTGGAAAAAACTGTTCTTAGGACATTTTGCATTTTCTTGTGCTTTTTCCATTATCATTTTTATAGCAGAGATTTCTGTGAGGATTCACAGTGAGTCATTTTATGAGGCAGCTCTGTACCATCTGCACTAAAGAGTTTCCTATCACTCTAGACATTACGTATCTCTTTATGGCAGCCTGGACACTGTAGGGAAATTGCCAAGCCAGGTCACATGCCAGTAGGCCATCATTCATCCAAAAAAGGCGGGCAAAATCTGCTTACAATTAGGTTCAAGCCTTGGTTCTGGATAACATGTCTTTGTGGCTACAGATTCTTTCCTGCCAGCCCCCCACAGGGCTCAGAAGGAGTCCTAGGATGGTCGGTGCCTGACCAGAGAGAAGAGGTCCTGGCCTCTCACTTTCTTTCTCACCCTTTTTCAATCTTTCACTCTTTTGTGAGGAACAATATGTTTCTGTATTGTCTCATGCTGATAGTGAGTGCAGCTGCTGTTCAAAAGGTTTATACAAGAGATACAGTTAAATGCTGAAACTGAAGAGAAAAAGTAAGAAAAGAAAATAGGAAGCTGCAATTTCAAGGAAAAATATAGAATATATTAATTTGATTTTCTAACTTCCAAAAGGAAAATATTTCTTGAGAGTACTATATATATAGAAATAAGCCAAAACACTTATAATGTAAATGGGGCTACCTTGTTAATCCCACAGCTCTGCATACCAGCAGAAAAAAAAATAAATTAATTAATTAAAATTGAAATTAAAAGGTATATATAAAGAAAAAAAAAAAATTGAATACATTCAACTGAAATTCTTCTCCTGTGGCATAATCTGGTTAAAAGGAAGCATTTGTTGTGAGATGGATTCCAACCTAACAATAGATTATGTGAGGTTCAGGAGATTTCTCCAGCAGAAGATGAAACTTTGATTTTAAAGTAGGTCTGAAATTATTTGGTTATTGGACAGTGCAAGTCAATTCAGAAATTATAACAAGTCATTTGGAATTCCTTCCCTTTTTCTTTATGAGCCAAGACTTGAATTCAGTCTTCCCCAGTTGCTCTTGGCAACTACAGTTACCTGTAAAGAGCACAGATCCCTGTCTGCTAGCGGTATTATTTGCTAGAGCAGGAGTGTAGGACATGGTGTGGCTGTACTCAGGGCTAGTCAGGAAACATTTTCAAATGATTTTCACTGTAAAGCTTCATTTAAATAGACATTTATAATTTTAGCCCCACGTCCATTCTCCTTTTAGACAACTGAAATCAATATGGCTGCTGGGACTACAGGTCACAGCAACATTTACCCCACCTGGAGAATCACATCAACAAATCTGCAGGCTTTAAGTCCAGTGGATGTAGTCTGCAAAACTTAGGGATATCTCACATAAGTCCTCTCCCAGGACAAACATTTCAGCTCCATCATACAGACCACAGCAGATGTTTTTTCATTGCAGAGTTATCTTTATTGAGCATGATCAATGATCATTGCAAAGACTGTTATCATGATTTAGTGTCTGAAGGTGGTCAGGAAGCAGAGAAGAAAGTGCTTTCTTTCCTGTAGGTGACTTCCTTCTCATCTGGCCAATAACATAGTTATAAGATAGAAGCAGAGACAATGCACAATCAATGTACATCTAAGAGGTCTTTTCTATTGTGACCCACTTCTTGGAAAATACATGTAGTCTCTGAAAATTATAGCTGTACTATTGTTGATGGTATTGAAAGCAACAGCACTATTTCAGAAAAGAGAAATGCAAGTGAGACTTCATATTCAGAGACTCCTACATTCATAGAAGATTTTAATTCTGTGAATCACTGAGAATTTAAAGGAAAAAGAAAACATTTTTGTAAAGTCCATGCTTGTTTGTGTAATGACACATTCTTATAAATGCTGAAGAGTCAAAGTTATGGAAGCAAGGCATTGGATTTAGGAATACGCTAATTATTGTGATATTGAGGACAATGTGAAGCTATTTGAGATTTGGGGTGCTTTCATGTCAGAAAAAAAGTTTCTGTTCCAGCTGCTTTGTTCTTTCAGAGAACAAACTACTGAACCAACTCAGTAGTCTAGAAAGACACGTGTACATCTGGAGACATTCATTGATGCTTATGCACTTTGTGAGCGTGGTTACCTCTGATCCAGATGGAAAAGAAAAACTAAAAAAAATAAATTAAATTAAATTAAAACAAAACAAACAAAATTTTTTCTCTGTTACCTGCAGGCTGCTACATAAATTAGTCAGCAGGGGAATACAGCAAGGCTCAGTGCTTTGCTTAAAACTTGCCTCCAAGTGTGTGCTGTTGTTGCTTCCAAGTGTGTGCTGCTGGGCTGCAGCCTCAAGTAAAAAAGCTCTCACAGCACTGACTCCTGCATCATCTGAACCCAGCTATGTCAGCATATATCTAAAATGATCTGATGAGACTACTGCATTCAGCACCTTACCCTGAAAAGCACTTGCTGTGACCAGCACTGCTCATAACTCACTTGCAAGCTGGCCAGTCAAGTGCGTAATGGCTTGTGCAAAGAATGCTGCTGGCCTCTACCCTCAGTGTCAGTTTTATTTGTGGGATCACTGAATAATAAACAAAACCTGGAGGACCACAGAACAACTTTGACCTGAACTAGAGTTGTCCCTACTACTTGGCTCTTTTGCTTTCTTCTCAAATGTAATAGGCAGAAGGTGCAACCTGTAAACAAATTATAAATTAGTGCCACCACCACCCAGCTGATTTGGTGGAATAAAATTAAGAATAGAGACAGAAAACTTCCAATCTCTGGAGGCACATGAGCTACCCACCAGAAAAAAATGTACAAGAAGACCATGTTAGTGATTGGAACTCTCAGAAGATTAAAGGGTTGTAGAAAAACTCTACAAGAAAGACACAGGTACAGAAAAAACTGCAAAGGAGTGAAAAAAATGCATGTGGTACATGGGAAAAAAAAGTAATAAAAAATATTTAGTAAAAAAATAAAAAAGTCCAAGGACAAAGAGATGCACACAAGGAAAAAGGGGTGAGAAAGAGGAGCTTCTGTTTAATTTTATTCTTATCTGATATTGATCTGATGACAAGAGATTTGGTGCCATCATTATTTCTTTACTTGATACTGACTCTTGACCCAAGGAAATCCCTAACAACAGGTCATAGTTCTCTTTTACTTAGTGCTGTACCGTCATAGAACAGGAAGATGGCACTTGCTCCAGTGAGCTTCCAGTCAAGCTGTCTTTGGGTTTTGAATAAGAGGAGCTGGTGATTTACACTGTGCATTATTTTTCTTATAGAAAGCAGGGAGAAGATTAATGTTTGGACATCTGCTATCAGGTGAGGCCAGTCTTCTGCAGTGAGCTAGGCTGTGTCAAGCCAAGGCCAAAAGCCTGCAAGAAAATAAAAAATAAAATTAAAAAAAAAAAATTAAAAAGTGCTACAGGCTGGGAGATGAGTGGTTTGAAAGCTGCCTGGCGGAGAAGGACCTAGGAGTATTGGTTGACAGTCCACTGAATATGAGCCAGCAGTGTGCTCAGGTGGCCAAGAAGGCCAACAGCATCCTGGCTTGTATCAGAAGCAGTGTGGCCAGCAGGGCTAGGGAGGTGATCGTCCCCCTGTACTCAGCTCTGGTGAGGCCGCACCTCGAGTACTGTGTTCAACTTTGGGCTCCTTGCTACAAGAAGGACATGGAGGTGCTCGAGTGTGTCCAGAGAGGGGCAACAAAGCTGGTGAGGGGTCTGAAGAACAAGTCTTACGAGGAGCAGCTGAGGGAGCTGGGGTTGTTCAGCCTGGAAAAGAGGAGGCTCGGGGGTGACCTTATTGCACTCCATAGGTACCTTACAGGAGGCTGTAGTGAGGTGGGATTGGTCTGTTCTCCCATGTGCCTGGTGACAGGATGAGGGAAAATGGGCTAAAGTTGTGCCAGGGGAGGTTTAGGTTGGATCTTAGGAAGAACTTCTTTACTGAAAGGTTTGTTAGGCATTGGAATGGGCTGCCCAGGGAAGTGGTTCAGTCACCATCCTTGGAGGTCTTTAAAAGACGTTTAGATGTAGAGCTTAGGGATATGGTTTAGTGGAGGACTTGGTAGTCTTAGGCCAGAGGTTGGATTCTGTGATCTTGGAGGTCTCTTCCAACCTGGATGATTCTGTGATTCTGTGAAGAATGTGAAGATTCAGAGTATGGGGTGGGAGAAAGTAAGTCAATGGACTTCCCATTGCTCTTTGCTTTCTGGGGGCAAGAAATGAACAGCCATACTGCACTTAATGCAGACTGTGTGGGAGGGCAGACCATGGCAACTGCAGCAGCAAGTTGGCTTGTACAAGAACTTTTTTCATTGAAAATTTGGTGGTAGCTGGGGTGCACATCAGGTCTTCCATAAGTCTTGGCTTTACCAGGGAGGTCTTTTGCACAAACAACTGCAGGAAACTTGACAGGTTTTCAGCTACTTGCAAACTTAGATCTGTGCTTACCAGCTCTTCTGCACTTCATTTTTCCAGTGGTATTTCAGAATTGTTTGCTTCTTTTCTTCTTAAGAGTAAGAAAGAGGGGGGGGGAAAAAAGTGCAAAATTTAGGAAAAAAAAATACTTCTGAAGACTTTAATTCAAAAAGTAGCACTAGTTAAGACCAGTCCTATTTTTTATCCCAAATCATCTTGTTCATACATAAGTTTAATAGTTCAGGAAAGGAGGGAAAGAAACTTTTATGTTGTCTACACTTCAGATTAGAAGAAGAACAGCAACCTTTCTGTATAAAATCACGCTACATTTTGAGATACCATGCAGTAATACATCCCAACATCAGACCTTTTCCTTTCACTCTGCTATCTAAATCCTCATCTGTTTGTTTTGGTTGTTTTGTTTTGTTTGTTGTTGTTGTTGTTGTTTTGGGGAGGAGGGATTTCTTCTACAATTCTTCCCACTTCACATGTGCTGAAAGTCTCTAATTAGCACAAGCTACCACGTAAACAGAAGTATAAAGAGCACATTCATCAACTGCTCCTGTCTAAACTCAATGGGTGCTCTGACTCTTGACTAATACTAGAATTTAGGAGGTGCTACCTGTCATCTTTTCCACAGTCAGTGCCTTGCTTTTGAACACATTGGGCATCTGGGGGTAGAAAATGGAGGATCCCAGTGAGAAGTCTAACAGGGGAGTTACGGCTTCTGTTTTAATAATTGCTCAACTGAACTACAATTACCACAGCTCAGGGAAATAATAATAAACAGAGCTGCTGTCAAATTAAGCAAAGCACATTTCATATGTCTGTGCCTCTTTTATATGCATACATAAGCAGAGGGAGAGGAGCAGAGAGCATACACATCAAGTGATAAATACCAGCCCCTGGGGGTTCTTAGAAAACAAATGGGATAATTTTAGAGAACCTAACTATCATTATTACTATTATTTATTATTAAAATCCATGCAGTAAGAAAAAGCAGCATCAGGTGATTATTGCTATGTACATAGAGAACTTTCAACATTTATTGTAAAATATTCTCTCATGTCAAACCAATAATCACCCTTTCAAAATGATGCCGTGGAGAGCTATATATATGGAGTGCTGAGTATAAATCTTTTGATTCCCTGTTGTAATGTGCAAAGTGTCGCCTCTCACATGAAGGCTGCTGCTGCAGGGCTTTGTGGCAGCTGAAAAGCACATGTTGTACTTCCCCCACCTTCTCCTTCCCATTTCCTTACAGATTTTCAAAGTCTCTCTTGATAAATGTCTTCAGAAAAATATTTTATGAGGTGCTTACCTATAAAAATATATCTTTCAAGGCCATGTACACAATGAAGCCTTAAACACTAACCACACACAAGAAACACTGTTCGTTTGGTCCAGAATGTAGATGGGAGGAAATCGAAACCAATCAGTTTTCAGTGAGGGCCAAGGTGGAACCTATTAACAGTTTGCTGTGACTTGACGTTATTCACCTGCTGCGGGAGAGAAGAGAAACCCTCTCACGGAGGATGCCCTTTTGTTCAAATGGTGGCTCATGCCTCAAGACATAGAGCCTAAAAACCTCAGCATGCATGATCAAAGACTTGGGACAGCTTCTGCAAGAGGAAAAACCCACAATGTGCTGAGACTCTTCAGTGGAAAGGGGTTGAATGCTGAAGGCAGGAGATGGCCCAGATCCAGTGATAAATATCATGAAGAGTTTAAAGAAATGATTGGGGAAAAATCATTCTTTTTTTTTTTTTTTTTTTTCCCCACATAGCACAGTAACAAGTTACTGGATTTAAAGCAGACAAATTCAGGTACTTTGTCATCCAGTACATAATTATGTTTCAGAGCTCATTGTCACAAGACAAAGTAAAGATGAAGAATAGAAGTGTATTCCATGAGCAAAAGAAGGTTGTATTACCAAAGTGCCTGGACCTTGATACTTCAGTGAGCCAGTGACAGACCCTTTTCTTTAGGAGAAAGATACTGAGGTCATGATGGTCACAAAGAATAAATCCCAAATCTCATAGCTGAAACCTTCACCATTGCAGTCCTCCTAAATAACTTGCAGAGGCATCGGTTCAAGTATGACCCACAGGGAAAAAAATCACTTAAAAATCTCTGGGCATGCTTGTGGTGCGGTTCACATTTCCAAAATATCATACCTATTTTACTGCTGCTCCAGGAGCAGCTCACAACAGGTTGTTGCTTCTATAAAGTGTTTTCAGTTGTTTTGCGGATGTTCACCATACCACACTGAAAGGTAAACAGCCTGTGATTGCCTGAGAGAAAATAAATAAATAAATAAAAATTTACTGTTACAGCTCTCCAATTCAGAAGAAAATACCAAAATGTGTTATTTTCAAGGGAGGTCAATTGTCAAGGTAACTTCTCAACATGTACCTTTTATTCCACCTTTTCAACATATTATGAATATCCTCTTAAGTCCTGATGTTTTTTTATCCATGGTACAAATATTACATCTTTTCCCTCACATTCTATCTAGGATCAATGTGCCAAGAGTGAATCACAAAATTGCAAAACGTGGCACCATTACAGCTTGACTCAATGTAGCAGCTCCATTTATCATTTTAGGTGAAATTATTTTAGCTACGTAAAACAAGGAAACATCAGTGGATGAGGAAACAGATGTTACATCTGTTCCTGTTTCACTGTACAGACAGCAAGAAAATATCAGCATAGCTTATTCCTAAATATTGCTGATTCTATACAGCCACGGTCATTTACACTGAGATCTGTGGGACTTCAAATTTCTGAGACAGCAGTGCTGCATGGCCTGTTTCAGTTGTCCTCTGGTCTAAAGTAAATAAAATGTCAATATCAAAGAAAAGAGCATACAGAGGACAGATGAAAGGGAAGCTACTGCGGTGGGGGGGGGGGGGGGGGGGGAGGGGAGAGTTGAATTAAAGGACAAGAAAATAGGTAGGTTATTTCCACAAGGCCCTTGCCACTTTGCCTGTTACTTAGAACTTGCTCCTGAACAGGTGTCCTCAGCTCCCGGTCCCTCACTCACTCCATGGCATCTGAAGGCACTAAGCTTGAAAATGGAAATGTGGTAATGCTGTGTCTTATGTACCTTTAGCATGCATTGTACCTATCTGCAGTGAAGTATAATAGGCTGTCAAGTGAAGTATAATAGGCTGTCCCTCTTTCACTATCCACAGGAAGCCCTTTGCACTCCTGGATTAGAGACATATTTAATTCCAGGCAGAAAAACACTATTGAGGTGTGAGATTGCCATGATGTAGCTGCATGAATTTGATTTTGCTTTTTTTTAACAACTCTGCATTGGGTGTGATTTTTGCAGTCTGTAAGAAGAAAAGTAGAAATAGAAATATGTTAAATCTACTTTGAAAATTTTGTTGTTTGTACTTTAAGAAATTTTACCTACTCCAATCCAAACATGCTTTCACTCTAAAAATTACACTGCCTTGGTTTGATACAGCCAGGAACTATTTGTCTATTGCATTTATGATTTATTTAAAGGACTGCCTTGGGGTTCAAAAGAATTTCATATTCTGTATGGGCATTGGTCATTGGGTGGTGAGCAATTGCACTGTGCATCACTTGCTTTGTATGTTCTTTTATCATTATTATTATTGTTATTATTATTACCCCTTTATTTTCTGTCTTATTACACTGTTTTTATCTCAACCAAAATTCCCCCCCCCCCTTTTTTTTGTTATTAATATTTCTTCCCCATCCCAATAGGGAGTGGGAGAGAGTGAGTGAATGGCTGTGTGGCGTTTAGCTGCCTGCTGGGTTAAACCACAAGCCTACACCTACTCTTACAGAAAAATGTCAGCCTTGCTGTACAGTCTTTTCCCATCAGATGGAAAAGCTGTAGCAGAAAATAGACAAGGACTTAAGCATCAGAGTTAAGGCTCCCTTTTGCTTATCCCTATCCCTATCCCTATCCCTATCCCTATCCCTATCCCTATCCCTATCCCTATCCCTATCCCTATCCCTATCCCTATCCCTATCCCTATCCCTATCCCTTCTTCATGCACTCTTGTCAAAGGAAGCTTCCCTAGCCCAGTCCATATCATGTCTCAGAAAAAACAGAACTTATTCTTTCAGTTGTTCCATGAACTAACATTCTGTATGCCTTTCAGTAACAAAGCTTAGCTTCAGGGTTAACTTGTGCCATCTTTGAGGATTTAACCAAATGATTTCAGTGCTCTTCCCAGTGCTAAGTGTCTCCCAAGACTGTCTGCTGAATGGGGGATATCTTTTGTTTCAGTGCTCATACAGGTTTATGTGTCTCTTGTACAACTTACATTTAGCTTAGATTTTAAGTATTATATACACTGTGTGTTCTTGCTGACAGTAGAAAATCTAGGATCATCCAAGGAAAATCAGAGTAGACAGTACTCTGCTTATATCAGCCATCAGTCTTCAAATGAAAGTGACAAACTACAGAAAATTATTTCGTGCATTTACTTATATAATAGCATTGGTGGCAGAAAGCTACCTTCCTGCCCTGCTGAATTGACCCAGACACATAGCCTTGGGTTATTTCTATTACTAATGATACAGAGCTACAAATGTTACTATGCATTGCTGTGTAGCAAGTGCCTTTATAAATTTGCCAAGGTTGTGTGCAGCTGGAAGTAAAGGTGGGGTAGCTCCTTTGCTTTTCATCTTTGGACACTAATCTATTGTACAAATGTTTAAACACAGCATGGCAACTCTTACTGGTAAATTCATGGAAGAAATATCATCTGTAGACAATGACTGATGTCTGCTTCATGCATTTCTGTCCTACTTCCAATCCATATATTTCGGAGGAGAAGATACCATATGGATTAAGTTAGTAACACTCATCCTCACATTTTCAAGGAGCACTTCCCTTTAAATCATATCTCTGTGGACCCTGACAGGCTTTCGCACCTAGTCTTATTTCATGCTGGAACTTTCCAGGGACACATTAGTCATGCCTCACAAATCACCATGTTTACTAGTGAATGAAACACCGTACACAAGCATTACTTAAATCCATGATGGAATCAGGAGCATTTTACACTTGTGTTGGTGGTAAGCTAAAGGACTCATCTCCTTGAGGTTTCTACCATATGTTTTGTTCTTAAAGCAAGCGTCTTAATATGGCACTCACAGAAGATTTTGATTAGTGGAAGGTTCCCATGATATCTTTATCTCATGGTAGGTTTCCTCTATACTCATCTGCAGGCGTTTTATTTTTGTTTTGTTTTGTTTTGTTTTTTAATCTAAGGAGTATTAACCAGGGATCCCAATACATTTTTAGCCAACATCTCACTTATTTTTGTGCAAAATAAAAAAAAAAAAAAGAGTAAAAAAAAGTATCTCTTCTCTCTGGTTCAACATGTAAATATCTGAATACAGGAAACATATATATAAACTACTAGTGTCTCTTCCAAATACCTAGAGCACGACTTCTATGATACTAATGGTCGTGCATGTATCTAAACTGACTACCCCTGTCAAATGTACGCTTCCGTGAGTCAAAGTCTGAAGTGTTTAATTTGGAAATAGACTTTAAAGTAACCTCTGAAAACAGCAGGAAAATGAGCAGAATCAAAGTCTCTGAAATACTACTGTATTCTGTAGAAGGACTTTATCTCTACTCAGATAATTTACTAACATTTTGGTGGACATACGATATTCTAAACAGTTTTGAGACTAGGTTGTAATGTTTTGGGCCAGAGAAATCACACTTTTCAAAAAACAAGTTCAAGGAAAGTATCATCCAGCCTGACTGCTGCCTTCTATAGTACAGGTGGAATAAACCTAGGCAACTCTAATTAGGATGCAGTCAAAGTAATGTTCACAGGTAATAATGCAGCAGAACATAAGATAAGAGCCAGGCTAAAGCAGGTCCTTATCAGCTCCTTCAGGGCTGTGATTGGTAATTTTACAGACAAAATTTTCCATGAACCCATTTATTCCAGATTGTTGTTTTTGACTCCCTTTTCCAGAAGACATGGATCCTGAAGTATGCAGAAGGTGCGCAGGTCGATGATGTCCTAATAAGGATAAGCACAGATTTTGTGTTACCTAAATTGTTTTGTTGGAAACGGATCTAGAGTATCCCACTGAGAGGTGGCACACCATGACATAAAGAAACACCATATGGCTGTGTCATAACGGAAGAACCCAGGTTGCTGTGGGTTGGTTTTACTGCACTTTCTACTAGAGCTGTGCAGAAAGAGCATTGTTTTTTTTTTTCTTTCCAAAGGATGTAGCCTGTATTCCTTCGTGTGACAAGGTACATCAGCTGGCTATTGTTGATACAAACTTCCTACATGAGGGCATGAGGTCTTTTAAGCTCTCTCAGTTCTTGGAGGAGAAAGATAAATAAATACCTCAAGAGGGCAGTAAATTTCATCTGAAGACAGGGAATCTCTGGAGCTG